GACTGTCCTTATTTGTAAGTCGCTTTGGATAAAAGCGTCTGCTAAATGACTAAATGTAATGTAAATGTAATGTAAATCTGTGAAGCAAGATATTAAGGGGCAGAATTTACTGTGTTCACTGACCTTATTTGCTCACGACGGGTTGAAATATTGGATATATTTTTACACACATACAAGTCTTAAGCCAATAATACGTAGAAGAAAAGTCCGCTTTAAGTGTGCGTTCACTTCTAAATTGATATATTTTTATAGTTTTGCATATACAGAATGGCGATTCATCATTTAATATATTAGGAGGAATAAATGGAGGCATTTGCGAGTTTAGTTGTAATAGCATTTTTATAGTAAAATCATGAAAAGGTGAATTTTTGCTAAATATAAAAGGGTATCATAAATAAAAAACATTACATTTTGTTGAATAGAAGAATCAGTCTCGAAGATTCAGGCCTATAGAAGATACAGGATATCATAATAGCAACAGATTAAGTTCAGATTGAATGATTTGCCTCAATCATCAAAAGGTTATGATGAATAATACTTTTGATTGTAATTAATGGGAATAATATATAATAATTCCGATTCCCAGTTGTGTCAGGGATTTATAACCGCACTTTAACTTTTCACAACAAAATAAAGTAGTATTTGTTTAATGGTAACAAATTTCGTTACCATCTTATCCCATCTTACCCTATAATTCTCAAGTTTTGTGGTTATATTTTTGAAACGCTATTGCAATGTTTATCCAGGTGTATTGTCTTGCCCCCATTGTAAGTGCTTTCCTATAATCACAGTTTTGTTTGAAGGATGAGTTGAAATTCTGTGTGGTAACAGATGTAGCTTAACCTCTACTGGACCCAGAATATCCCTTTAAAACAAATGATCAAGCATCCAGATAAACATACTGTTCTGACTCGGAGAGATCTGGGTTCCACATGCATCTTTAAAGACTGTGTCATGTGTCTCATTTGTCAGGTGTGTATAAGCCAGAGCCACTCAGAGACATGTGGTGGGCGCTGCTGTCCACGGGCATCCTCTTCCTCTACCACTTTGTGTTCCTCCAGGGCCTTGGAATGGTATGACAATCAAACACTATTGCTAAATATTTCAGAACAGCATACTAGCATACTACTCTTTGTATTTCTGCCATAGAAATATGGAAGAAATAGTAAGAGTTGGTAGCTTATGACTATGTTAGAAATGGAATGCTTGCTTACTACTTACTGAATACTGCATAGTATACACTGCATGCTTCCCACTGTATTTAAGTGAAACAGTACCCATTATTCTACAACATTCCACTGCTTTGTCACATGACCTCATTGCATTGTGTTGGGTTTCAGCAAGTGGTAAAGTAAGTAGTGCATTATGCGGAACAAGTTCTAGAGTTCCGTTTTTCTAGAATTACAGTCACAGTTCATAGGAGTTAAATGTCATATGGAAGCCCATTAAAAAAAAAAAAAAAAAAAAGGGAATTGCGACATTTTGTCTTGAAATACCGAGTTTACATCTCGCAGTTGACTTTTTTTCCTCAGAATTGCGAAATATAAATTTGAAATGTTGACGTTTTTCTCAGAATTGTGAGATATAACTCGCAATTGTAAGAAAATCATCTTATTTTACTCAGAATTGGACCATATGTTTATATCTCACAATTAGTCAGATTTGCGAGAAAAAAAATCTGCATTGTGAGGAAATAAAGTCAGAATTGCGATATAAACTTGCAATTGCGAGAAAAAAGTCAGAATTTTGAGATAAACACAACTGCGAGAAAAAAAAAAAAGAATTGCAAGATATAAACACAATTGCGAGAAAAAAAAAAGGCAAATTGTGAGTTTATATCTCGAATTACGAGATATAAACTCGTAATTGCAAGCAAAAAGTCAGAATTGTGCGATAAAAAGTCGCAGTTACCTTGTTTTATTTTTTATTCAGTGGCAGGCTTCCATAGTTATATGTATGTGCTGTAGAAATATTAATTTAACCATTGTTTAATCATTAGACATTAACAGCTTCAATCTTTTCAGGATGAGCACTTTGACATTTGTAATACGTATTTTAAGGTGTCTTGTCCATCTGATTTTCGCTACTGTAATGAATAACATAACTATTTAAAAAATGTTGCATGCTTAGGACGTCTGTGTAGTAAGAATGTAGGAGACTTCGGATTAAAAAAATAATAATAATACTGACTCGTTAGGTGAGGTTTTCTCATTAAAATGTACAATTTCCTAATAATTCAATACAATGTATGGGAATACTAGGAAATTACAATATGGCTATAGAGATATCTAGAGAGACCTTTTTTATTATAGTATTGTTAAATGTTTGTACATTTATTACATGAACAGTGTTCTTGTTACTAAAATTGCATCTCTTTAATTTACCTTTTTTGTCTACTATTTCATATATCAGGCATGGCAGACCTTATTCTGAATAAGACAATATTATGATTAAGGTGTTTACATGAGTTGATTTAGAATATTCCCGTTTTACATGTTACAGTACATAGATCGATTAATGGCACGTTCCCTCAGAATTTCACGTATCAACATAAAGTTCGTCTTCGGTACCAAATACAGTTTAGGGTGTTTTATTTTTAATTTTACGAAAGCTTCAAGTGCAGTTAATTATATGTCATGCTATACTGCAAACAGACAACGACGGATAAAAATGTGCCTTCTTGCTTGAAGCCATGCTCTTTTGTTTGCCGTCAAACGGTTGAGCACTGCCGTGTGTGTATCCTGTCGCAAAATGCGGCGAAAAGTCCTACAAGACGGTAATAGTTTGATTAAGGTGTTTACATGTCTATACTGCACTTCAATAATGCGACTAAAATAGGAATACTCCACATGTCTTAATTCGATTTGTATTTACTCGGAGTATGACTTTAGCCGGATTAAGGTAATCAAAAATCTGTTTACATGGTAAATTCTTAATCAGAATATTGCCTTAATCGTGTTAATATCGGATTATTGTTGTCCATGTAAACGTACTCCGTGTCTATATTTCAAATATTGAAATATGTTTATGTAGCCTTATGTGATACCCTACAGTGTGTTCTTTTAAAATTTTATTTATTGTTATTTTTTCCATGTGATTACATGACATGTTACATGCTGTTTTATTACATGTTACATGACATGTTTAGGGCATGTTTGTTCTGGTTAATCTCCAGTTTTTGGCTGCAATATACAGTGGGTACGGAAAGTATTCAGACCCCCTTAAATTTTTCACTCTTTGTTATATTGCAGCCATTTGCTAAAATCATTTAAGTTAATTTTTTTTCCTCATTAATGTACACACAGCACCCCATATTGACAGAAAAACACAGAATCGTTGACATTGAATACTTAGGACCATGTGATATTTCAGTTTTTCTTTTTTAATAAATCTGCAAAAATGTCAACAATTCTGTGTTTTTCTGTCAATATGGGGTACTGTGTGTACATTAATGAGGAAAAAAAAATAACTTCAATGATTTTAGCAAATGGCTGCAATATAACAAAGAGTGAAAAATTGAAGGGGGTCTGAATACTTTCCGTACCCACTGTACACTGATCAACCACAACATTAAAACCACTGAAAAGTAAAGTGAACAACACTGATTGACTTTAACAAGGGCCAAATAGTGATTGACTGGGTCAGAGCGTCTCCAAAACGGCAAGTCTTCTGGGGTGTCTGTTGAGATCACACAGAAGAGCTACTGTAGCTCAGATTGCTGAAAAACGTCATGCTGGCCATGATAGAAAGATGTCAGAACACACAGTGCATCAGAGTTTGCTGCATATCCACAGACCGTCAGAGTGCCCATGATGGCCCCTGTCCATCGCCGAAAACACCTATAATGGGCAAGTGAGCAACTGGACCATGAAGCAATGGAAGAAGCCTGGTCTGATGAATCACATTTTCTTAAATCGTGTGGATGGTCGGGTGTGTGCACATCATTTACCTAGGAAAGAGATGGCAGCAGGGTGCACTATGAAGGCTGGCTGACCGAGGAAGGGATATACTCTGGGGAATGTTCTGCATAGAAGCCTTGGGCACCACCTACCTAAGAATTGTTGCGGACCACGTACACCCCATCACGGAAATAGTGTTCCCTGATGGCATTGGCCTCTTTCAGCAGTATAATGCACCTGCCTCAATGCAAAAAAAGTGCAGGAATGGTTCGAGTTCATGGTGTTGCCTTGAGCATCTATGGGATGCGCTGGACCAACAGATCCATGGAGGCCCCACCTTGCAACTTGCAGGACTTAAAGGATCTGTTGCTAATGTATTGGTGCCAGAGACCACAGGAAGCTTTCAGATGTCTTGTGGAGTTGTCATATGTCTTGATGCATCAGAGCTGTTTTGACAGCACGAGAGGGACCTAGTTTTATTAGGCAGGTGGATTTTATGTTGTAGCTTGTCAGTGTAGTGCTATCTAATCGTTGCACCCACACTTGGAGGATATGACTCTTAAGATGATCAAACCAGTAATTTTGAAATGATCAACTCTGGACTGGAAATATTACTTTATTTAAAAACATCAATTGGTTCCTGATTGTATCAGACACTAAAGTGCATGCATGTAATTTGTAGAGTCTTTACTCTTAATGTTTTATTTTATGTCTAAATTAAATTATTTGATGTGGCATGTTTGCATTCTATTCTTGCATATCTTTAATAAAACTGGTGGTCAGAATCTGAAGTATTGCACGTACGCGTACACTAGTCTTGTGCACTCCCCTTGAAATAAAATATGCATTAGAATAACATGACACCATTTGAATTATCTGTCATCTGCCATTAGTGCAGGCCAGAGCTGAAGTTATTTCTCACTACTATTTGACGTTTTTCAGATGTAGAAATGTGATAAATGACTTATAGCATATTAACATATTTCATAAAATGAAGCATGCTATTAAGCAAATTCTGCTGGAATCATGTGTTCATGTAGTTCTATGGGTCACACTTTAGTTTGGGGACCAATCTAAACTTGGGGACCTCTACAAACTCCTAATTTGCTGCTTATTAATAGTTAGTAAGATGGTTAAGTTTAGGTATAGTTTTAGTTAAATATGGTCATGTAGAATAAGGCATTAATATGTGCTTAAAAAAATAAACAGCCAAAATGCTAGAAATATGCTAATCAGCAACTAGTTAATAATGAGAATTGGTCCCTAAAGTGTTACCATTCTGTTTCACATATGCATGTTTTGCTTTAGTTATTTTGGCCCTATGCTAACTCAGTCTTGTGTTTTTGCTTCCCACCAGTTGACAGAAGTGAATTTGAATAACATGCTGTGTCCTGCTGTCTCTGACCCCTTCTATGGACCATGGTACCGAGTGTGGGCGACGGGCCACCAGACTGCCCTGACATTACTGCACGGCAAGGCTCTGACCATCCTCTCACAGCACACCGCTCCCACATGCCGGTATTTATTGGATATAGCACATCTACGCAACAAGAAGTTGGACTAGTGTTTTTATCAGCAGACTTACATGGACAAAACCTGAACTGGAACTTGTCCAGCTTCCTAGAAAAAAAAGTGTAGTACATTATATATATATATATATATACTTTTTTTTTTTCTTTTTGTTGTTTGGTCCAAACCTGGTTTCTCAAAGCTGGATCATTAGATCGAAAGACTGTTTTAACACCATAGGAGCAGGACTCAAGCAACATAAACCTTGCCTTGTTCTTTTTAGTTTTAAAGTTTAGCAAAATTAAGATTCATTGAACTCAGAACAGATGTAACCTTTCTTCTCAAGTTGCCTTCTTTAGTTACATTCAACAGGGGGCCAACCCAGTTCCATTTACTCAACTGATGCGCAGTTATAAATGCTGAATTTCCTCACGCCTTGCATGCTGGTGAGGCATTTTTAATAGATTTTCTCAAAATGACATTCTGTTAATATTGTAGACCTGTTGTGGAAAGCATAAATGTAGTGGTACTGTGTCTAGGAGATTTTCCAGAGTCTATTTCCAGCCCCCAAGCAGTCTCTTTCTTTCAAACTGGTATGTAAATAGTTATGACTAAATTTTAAGCTGAAGCTATTAGCTGTGGTCACGTCCACTAAACATTTGCTGTTTGATCAAGTTCACACACTCTACTGATCATATTATCCATGGGAAATGATAGTGTTTTTTGTATGTTCACATGTATACACAAAAAAGTCCAATATGTAGTCAAATGAAGGAAAAATAAGTTCCATCACCAACCACATTAGGGGCTCTTTTGTCCAGTCCCAAAACTGCTCTGATCAAGTGTTTTCCCAGCTGTTTGCATGTCAAGCCCAGAAACTAAGATTTGCTGAACAGTTTGTGGCTGTTGCAGTCATGCAAGAAATGCCAATTTGAGCGGTCTAGTGAATTATGGGATCACTCTCATTTCAATGTATGTAACTTGACTGAAAGGGAAACCTGTCTGTCTTGGTGTCATTTTTGTACATATGTTTTTATCAATATTAAAGGTCTTCTCCAACATGTCATTGATGAAGACTGTCTTGGTTTCACAAGGTGTCAAAAAAAAAATTTGTCTGTGAAGCATAAAGACACCTAATGCCTTATTCTTTCAGAATTAATTTTTATTGGATAAATGATTTAAAAGGTAATAACTATAATGTTTTAAAACTACATTATCATTGCCACAGCCATAGCTCACATACCCACATATAACCCATCTATCCCCCCACCCCCAGCACATTTTATTTTTGGTGTAGATTTTTGTAATTTTTGTCTTTTTTTTTGTTTTTGAGCCATACTACCATATTCATAATAAATGCCCATTTCAAGTCTCATCACACTAACAGCAATTCAGTGGGGTTAAATGATCTAGTTCTACAGGGGAGTTGTTTTTCTATATATATATATATTTTTTTTTTTTCTACCAAGTCATTACTTTAGCTATTTCAAGTTTTTAAAGGAAGAAAAAATCCAAAATCAAAATAGAAACAAAAAGTGGTGGGCATATGGGGCTACACCAGGCAACCCCGTTGCCCGCAATAACAACACTGCAAGCTGTCAGTCATTGAAGGGCATTTTTAAAACTCATCTTCTCAAAGTTCCAGAACATAGAAAACCACTAAAATAATTTAGAAACTAGGTCCAAAATATTTTTTTTTTTAAAGAATTAACTCGATATACAAAAACAGTCATTGTGTTGACTTTTTTTTACACTTTTTTTTTTTTTTTTGTACAAAAGTTTTCAAACAAATTTATTGTAGTTCTTACATTTTTTTTTTTTTTAATCATCATCATCATTATTATTAATTATACTTTTTTCCCCCCATATCTATCAGTGCGATTGTATGCCAGTGCAGCTACTGGGTCCAGAGTAAAGAAAAGAGGCTTTTTTTTTTTCTTCTTTAAATGGCATTTAAAAATAAGGATTAACTCATCTTTTGTATAAAGTATAACTGCTGGTCTTAGGAAAAAAATAAAATAAAATAAAAAAACATTAAGACACCCATAAATCTAAGAGGCACGCTATGGGGTTTTCTTTCTTTACAAAAATATATAATAATAACAACAATGATGAAAACAAAATAATAATTAAAAAAAAAAAGTACAACCTAGTATTACGGTCATTGACACCGTGCAAGGTCTCAAAGACAGCTACAATGAAAATTCATTGAACTTAGGTAGCTAAAATCCTAAAACAACATTAGAAATTGTACAAAAAAAAAAAAGATACACAGAAACAGAAGACATTTCTCTTGCAGGGAAGGTTTTTGGAAGGACAGGAAGGCAGGTCTGTAGAGCAGCATTTGAACATGGCTGGAGGCATCTTTGGTTCGGTTGAACACACAAAGGTAACATGAGCCAAACGACTTTCAAAGGACTATGGGTTCAACAGCGAGCGTGAAGCTCGTCTGCAGGTGTTACAACCCAACATGTATGCCTAAAATGAGCATTTGCTATACACACCAAACACTAATCCCAGTTGTGTTGTTAAAAATGACAGAAACCCAAAGACAGCGTAGCGAGAAAATGCTTTTTGACCCAATCTTTGAGCAATGTAACTGTAGGACAGGTACTGAGAGTTTCTACAGTGTTTAAATGTGCCTGGGATTGCTAATGTCCTCAAAGTGCATGTTCAAACTACTCTAGGAATCGTGAACATACTTTGTTCCATTTGCAGTCATTTCACAACTGATTTTTCTTAACTTAAAATGTATCGACATATCTGACAGAACCAAAAACGAAAGAACCAACGTGTCTTTCATCGCATAGTGTGGCTTGCAACCGAACGAACCAATGATATTTGAACAAATGTTGTTAGCAAAGAAAACTCAGCACATTGAACCTCATTATCGCTGTAGTTTTGGCCATATGGAGGCAACAGCGTTCGGCTAGTTAAGCCAGCCGTCTTTCAAAACGGCGATGTACATGAACGCGAACATCCACAGCATTAACAAAGCGAGAGACTCCAGGGTAATTGTATGTTGCGTAAATGTGCACATCTATAACAGATGAGATGTTAAGCATATGCCCGAATCCCCCAGGCCATGAGGGAAAGATGGGGTTAGACTCGTCACTACTTGTCCTTTCAAACCTGCAGGAGATTGTGTTACACTGGTAGGAAAAAAAAAACAAAACAAAAAAAACACCTGTAAAACAGATCTGCATATTTTGAGGATAATAATAAAGTCTGATATGATCAATGAGTCCGCATGACCAGTCACATTTGCTGCGACCACCCCCGACATGAGGTCCGATAGCACCATTTTATATAGTCTTTTTTTTTTCTCGTATCTATATAGCAGTGAAACAAGCATGCCATGTTTAACAGGTGGCCTCCTATTCATGCAACAAATGTATTGCAAAGGTCAATACATCAGATTTCAAATGCAAAGACTTAGTTGATTTTGCAGCAGAAAAAAAATTTCAGTTTGTGCTGTTTTAATGGACCAACAAACGAGGCCCTGATCGTCCAACTAGAAACACAATAACCGGGTTAAAAAAAATCAGATATTTAAAGGGTTGTTAAAGACCACAAATGTGTCACACTTTGTGACTCTTAAACAGGCATCTTTGCCCAAAAACTCAATGCAAAAGTTGCTGTTCATGTTGTGAAATAATCGGTCTCAAGGTAGTTGAGCACTCGGGGCAACATTTGCTGGTCCACATCATAACAATGTTTAAGGCAAAACAACTGAAATCAGGTTTTTTTTCTTCTTTAGGTTTTAGTGAGCTGGCTAAAGACTGTGGATGGAACCCCAAAAGCCCTTAACATTTTGCATATGAAAACAAAACACAGAAACCTCTCCCATTATTTTCCTTTCAGAAGTGGTCGAAAAGCGAGTCCACTGCTTCTACAGACAATAAAAACACGTGATATTCAGTCTACCTCCTGGTCTTTGGAAGAAAGAAAAAAAAAGCTGTATCAAAATAACACTGCCGCCTTTCAGAGCAAGAGTTGAAAATGGGTGTAATAGAGAATAAATCATCAGTGAGAAAACTATGAAAACACTTACAACCATAGTTTAAAAATCCCTGGTGTGACATGACAACATTAATCAAACAAGCTTCACCGCGAGATGTTGAGGGGTTCAGAAGCCGCCACAACAGCTGTGCCTGTTTGACTTGAAGATCCGTAAGTTATCTTCTCAATTACAGCAACTGTAAAGTCTGCGCGTTCGTATGGAGGTGTGAACACTGTTGCTATGCGAGACAGAAACGGACATATTCATCCATAATACCAGATAATTAAAAACTAAACAGAGAGCTTTCTGAAGCATCCTCTTGAGAGTGAAGATTCCCGTGCCAGGTAAACAGACCAGGAGAGGAAGGAATTAGAGCAACCACTCTGCTACAGCATGCATTTATATAAAAAAAATTAAAAAAAAGGTTTTTTTTTAGCTTGTCCCTCTCATTTGACCTTGGTTTCTCACAAAGGTTTTCCTCTCTGTGTGACAAAATAGGAGCGATACAAAACTCAGACTGACTTGAATCTGATGTCTCTCTATCCATTTACACCCTTACTCTGAGTACAGACCTATACTTTCAATCTCACAAACAACACTAAGAAACACTAATACAACACATCACCACGAGAAACAAAATAACAGACATGTGGATTAATATGCTTTTACATTTTTCCTTGCAACACCAGACAAAAAAAGGCTAACTATTTATCTAAGTTAGTTCAGTTCAAATCAACTCCAGTAATGCTAAGAGCAACAGGCTTTTACATTATGGGGAAAATATTCTGGCGTACCCAAAAGAGAGTTTGAGGGGGAAAAAAACAACACTTGACTAGTTCTTCACTGCCTAACCCAACAATGCTCAAGATAAAACAAGAAAGGAAAACAAAATCACCACTCACGAGGAACTACACAGAGAGGAACGAGAATCCCTTAAACCCTGTGGCTGCCTATATGATAAAAGACAAACTAATAAGAAACAATAAAACGGGGGGAAAAATTTGGGCAAGTCACTAAAGCTGAGCGAGCGTACATAAAATCTGAGCAAAAGCATAACTACTCCAACATTTAATATGACTTATTTCCATCCACAGACTGAGAAACCTGATTTTAGGAAATTTGTTGAAACAAAAAAAAAAAACTTAGTATTTGTTTATTTGCTTAAAAAAGGGAAGTGGTTGAGAGATATATATATATATATATATATATATATATATATATATATATATAAAATTCCAAAAA